GTGTTAATTGGTTTCCCTTTTCTTTGTTGAAGAGGGTCTGTGCAATCCTTCTGCCTAGTCCGCCATCTTGCCCCGCCTCTGTAGATGCTATTCTTGTCATCATTTTAAGACATGAGGAAATTGAAGTACAGTGGATAGGAAACTTGCCCAATGTAATTAAGTTAATAAATAAGAAGTGGCAGAGCCCAGGCTCCATGTTCTTACCTTACTTTGCTCTCTTTTAACACAAGTCCAGATTAAGTGGCTAATAACTATCTTTCCCTCTATGAGTCAATGTGGGGAAAAAAATAACCAAAATTCTGAACTCTAACACCCAAGCTACCACTGAGGACCGACCACATGACAGAGGGGAGATTTGTGAGTATTAATGATGCTCTTCTATTCAATTGTCATTTATAGATCAGAATCCAATATTCCTGGTCAGTCCATCAGGGGGAAGACAAGAATTTATTATACCAAAACGAAGAAAAATCAAAGGAACGAAACAATCAAATTACATAAAACTTTGTTATGCAAATACAATCCTCTATTCTGCATGACAAATATGAAATGCTCTCCTAGAATTAGGTTGGAGATCATCATTCTATTGAACTTCTCCAAAGAAAGCAATGTGAATCTCAGGCTATTCTCCTTGACAATAACACAAAATACATTAAGTGATTTTTTTTAAAGGAAAAAACATCAGTAAGAGAAAATTTAATGAAAAAACTTATATCTGAACCTTGGTCAATTTTAAAAAAGACTACTTCAAATTGAGATTACAAAAAATGGACTGCTCTAGCTGGCCTCTCTCAGTTAATCTCTGCAGGTAAAGGAAAGGATTAATAAAAGCACAAATGAAAGTAGTAAGTGAAGAGATTAATAGGGAAGAAGTAAGATGGCAATCAATCATTTGAAGGCAATAGACTGACTATCCCTTCAGGGCTGACTTAGCCAAAATACCATGGGAAGCCTAAACTGGTTATGAGTAAAGCTGCATGCCTAGAGGCAGTGTTTCTCAAATTTTAGTATACATAATAATTACTAGAAAATTCTAATATCTTATACCCCAAAATTCTAATTCAGTAGCCTTGGAGGTAGGACAAAAAAATCTTCCATTCAACAACCCTCTCAGTGATTTTAATTGGGTTCCTTAGAATTTAGTTCTAAGAAATTAGAATTTCTTCTAAGAAATTCTTAGAAGAAAAATGCAGATTTATGCCCAATAACTTCTACAAACAAATTTCATGCTAACATAATTTCAGAACATTAACTGTTTGCAGTCTCCTACCTGTTTCAGCATCCTTGGGCCTGTGGTCTTCATCGAGGGGTTTAGATAGAGGCCAAACAGATGGGATTTGCCTCGGAAACTGCTCTTCAGTGTAATCCAGTGAGTGTGTGGGTTGACTAACTGCAGCCCAAGTGTAAAGTTGATCTTGCTACATTTAAAAAGAAAAATTATAAAAAAGCTATTAATTTAATCATAAAAAATATAGAATTCTTAGTCAATAAACTATAGCATCATTTTTGTACAATTCATGTAAATACGTATACACATAAAAATAAAACAATTTTATACTATTTAATGTAGATTTATAATATAAACATCATTCTTCCTCATCACTTCACTTTCATAACCATAGCTGTCACAACTTCTTTTCTACAATAAAATCAAAGCTTTGTTCTTTGGAAGCAGAGATGCCATGTAGACATGCAAGGAATTATGAAACAAGAAAAGCCAGACACTGAATCTGAAAGCTCCTTGAACTAGCACCTTTAATATATTTGAAGATGATGTCTCTTTAAAAATTGTTTATTAACTTATCAAAGGACAGGCTGTACTTGGGGACTACTGGACAAAAATAGCTTCCTTTGCCTTCCACACAAAAGGCCCAGGACACGAACTTATCTTGGGTCCAGGTTGGGAACTGTTTTGAGAAAGAAACCATGAAAAACTCAATGAACCTGCCAAGAATTAAAAAATTGGGCAGGGATCTTTTGGCAAAGAAAGGCCTTCCTAGCAGCAGACTAACATAACCTGGATGGAATGAGAAGAAGGCTAGTAACTATATCTAGAGCCAGGAGAAAAACTGGAAATTGCACAAACAGCACTGCAATGGGGCCTATAAATCTTAGAAAACTGCTCATCCTAATGAAATCCTATTTCAGAATAACAATGTATTTAAGGATTTTAAGACATATGAGCTCAATGTATGAATGTCTCATGTTCTTTTTGTGTCATTATTCATAGGTATATTTTCCAATATCTTTTGATTAATACCAAGTGAAATAAAGAAAAGACCAGTACAGTAACGGTTTAATGCAAATTAAGAAAAAAAAATCATGAAGCAGCTCTGTGGGAGAAAAGACCTTGTGCTCTGCTTCCATAAAGATGACATGTAGGACCTGTTAGTACAGTGTGCCTTATAAAACCATCTATAAGAGACTAAAAAAGGTCAACAATTACTTTAAAGCAAACATAAGAAGTTAAGGGAGCAGGAAAACTAAAACACTGGAAATAGAATAACCAGAACACAGTTAAAGAGAATACTGACAAACTGAAAAATGTAACTGTCATTAAAAAGTTTGTATAGAAATTGTGAAATAGGAATATATTTTCTGTGTAAACCTTCACTGAAAACATAATAAAATATTATTTAAAAAAATATTACAGCCTAGGTAATCCTATTAGGCAGTTCTACTCTGTCATATAGGGTTGCTATGAGTCAGAACCAACTAGAGGACACAAAACAATAAGAGATTATGAGGTAAACTGTGTTAACCAACTAATAAGTGTCAAGATTTGTATAAATTTATTTAATAATTTAACAGATTTATCTAATATGCTTTAGCATGCATGTCAGTTAGTTTAAACTTTACCTTTGAAGTATACTCATTGACCCTAATTGAAAATTCAGATACAAGGGCTCAGCTAGGATTGTATCAGAAAGGACCACATGTCAAACTTAACTCAGTTTTCTTGTATTTTTATCTTTCAGCTATTTGTATCTAGAGCAATACCAGAAGCTTTACTATTTAACATACTGAGTACCAGAAATAGGTTTTCATTGGTTAAAATAGTGGCTTCTTTAATTAACATGATGAATATTAACAATGAGCTTTTTCACTGCTGAAATTGAAAAACTCAGTATGTTGAATCAGCTAAGATATCAGAGACTATCACTATACTTAACAATGAGTAGGGTAAAGATTCAGGCAAGGGTTGATGCTAGTCTTGACATCTAAACAATGCTGCATCCAACCACTGCTTAAAAGGATTTTTTCTTGCCTTTTGCCAACAGAGACAGAATCCTGCCTTGATGCAAGGATTAATCAAGATAGCAAACTGGAAATTCCTTGAGTATGCAGGAGAGTTTGCATGGCTACTATGGGCATACTAATGTTTGTGTGCTTAATAAATGTCCACAGGTTTGGCAGAATTTCCTTTGAGATTTGCTTTAATTAAATATGTAAGTTGCAAAGTTGTCAGGAAGTAGTTAAGTCTCACCCATTCAAGAGTTGTGATGACCCAGTGGCATTGAGGAAGAGGAAGACTTAGAGAGGTGCATGGGAGGTACAGACAATAAAGATGAAACCTTTTGCACATACAGTACTGCGTTGTCAGTGATGGCAAATATTGATAGATGTGGTGGATAGATCGGTGGGACAGGCTGAACGATTAGATATGTCTATGCGGGGGGAGTGTGCCCATGACCATGTAAAGAGTTGGCAGACAATGTTTCTACAAGTGTATTTGCATGTCTTGTAAGAATTTCCTGGTATATAGCAGAGCTGACTAGGGACAAGGTTGTAGTCACTTCTTGACCACACCCAGCTACCCAGAGGGAGTGAGTAATTGGACCTGTGGGCTGGGGATCATGGTCACAGAAGACATCAAGCTCAATTGGCATAACATACTACACAAAAACATTGTTCCACATCCTACTTTGGTGAGTAGCAACTGCAATCTTAAAAGCTTGCAAGCAGCCATCTAGATGCAACTATGGGTTTCTCCTTGTCCAGAGCAAAGAAGAATAAGGAAAACCAAAGATTCATGGAAACAATTAGTCCAAGGGACTGGTACACCAAGCGATCCTTAGCCTATACAACTATGAGACCAGAAGAACCAGATGGTTCCCAGCTACCAATGTCATCCACTCAGAGGGGGATCTATGCAGGAGATCCTTGATAAGAGTGGGAGAACAATGTGGAACAAACTCAAAATCATAAAAAAAAAAAAAAAAAGGACCAGGTTTGATGGTCTGATAGAAACTAGTGGAACTTCTGAGATTGTGGTCCCTAACTGCCCTTCATGTTTGGAACTGAATGCATTCCTGTGGCTTCCAGCCAAACAAAAGACAGGTGTATGAGCTGAACATTTACATTAGGTAGATACACTCCTTGGAAAAATTAATCATAGGAGAATAGAATGGCTGTGTATGCACAGGGAGACAGCTCAGGAGTGCAAGGGAGGGAAGGACACAGGGAAGAGGTATCTGTGGGGAGGAAGTGGGAGGAGAGCTGTTGCACTGTGGGAGATTGCAGTTAATGTCACAAGACAAAGTATATGTGAACTGCTATAAGGAAGATGAATTTACTCTGGAAACTTTCACCCAAATCACAATAAAATTAAAAAAAAAAAAAACAGTTTTGATGACTAAAGTGGTTTAGGTCAGTTCCTAACAGGTGACATGAATATTGCTCTGACTCAAAAGAAGCAGTGAAATGCAACTCCCTTTCCCCACCACCCCTTTCTCAAATTAGTGATCATGATACCTATTTAGCTACATTCAGGAGCTTTCCTACTCCACACAGCCCAAGACCCTCTCTCCCCAAAACAATTTAAATCTTTGAAGTCATTGTCCTCACATCAGTTTCCAGTATAGCAGAATCAAATGGACGAGTCCATAACACATGCTTCTACCAAGGTCACAGACAGTTGGCCAAAATGCTGTTTTAACAGAGTGACCAAGAGCTTGAGACTAAGAACTAGACAACCTGGGCTACACCAAGACAAACTGGTACACCAAGCGATCCTTAGCCTATATGACTATGAGACCAGAAGAACCAGATGGTTCCCGGCTACCAATGTCAACCACTCAAAGGGTGCAGACAACCTGGGCTACATCTCAGCAAGTGTGAGCTGAAAGAAGTTCACTTAAAAACTCCTGAATATTAAGTTCCTCACATGTAAAATATTGATAGAGTTGATATAGAACTATTAAACTGAGATGATATATGTAAGGTTGGCCTGGAGGGCTGTGGTGACTGACAAACTCCATGCTAGACATTACAACCAAAAACAAAAGGACTCTTACATAGAGAGCTTCATCATCCTAATACAATCACTCAGCCACTGGCATTATTGCTCTATATACAAAAGGCAGCACCAATATCCTAGGGGAATAAACTATTTGACTTGGTTTCATCATTCACCAAAATGCAAAGTATGTTAACAGCATGCTACAAAAACTCATAGAAACCAAAATTCTTTCAGTCAGTTTTCCAGTCTTGCAGCCAACGCACAAGATTGTACTACAGTGCTATGATAATAATGATATGATAATAATCTCAAAACCTCTCATTCATCACACAGCTCTCATATCAGAAAACACACAAAACACAAATTTCTTTCATGGCTCCTCACTTTCTACAAAATCAAATCCTAATGCTTCAGTCTGACTATCATTTGAAATTTTCTACAGTTTTCTCATCCACCCACCCACATACATCTCTATATGCTTCCTTGACTGAATGATAATGAAAATACAACATACAATTTTAGGATGCAGTAGTCATGCATACATTTTAAAGTTTAAATGCATATATCTTTTGAAAAGGCCAAAAAATCAGTAAGTTAAATATCCATCTCAAGAATTATCTGGTAAGATGGCAGAATAGGCAATCAAACTACACAGACTCTCTTCAACAAAGAAAAGAGGAACCAATTAACAGAGATACAGAAGATAATCCTGGAGCCCTTGAACTTTGAAAGGAAGGATACAGAAGTGGACTAAACTCCAACTAGTAGAAGCACCTGAATGAAAACACTGAAAAAGGAGACATATGGAGCTGAAGACTGTCAGCGATCCTGACCAGACAGACAGCTTGGATATTTCCAAGTGTTGGTAGGACCTAAGAACCAAGCTAAAAACTGGCCCTTCTAGCCAGGGGCTACATGAAGGACTGCACTGGTGGCTAATGAATAAAAAGGAAAGCAACAAAGAGGGAGACGGGTTGAGCCATGGACTTTTGGATGTCCAGAGGGCACAGCCATTTTGAATGTTTACAAGAGGTTTGACCATTTTGGATATTAAAGTGAGAGCATTCTCTCAGATTCCAGGGACTTAAGAATAGGCTCCACTTGCCAGGACTGCAAGGACATTCCTGACACTAACAACTGGAAAGGTGTGATATTCCCCTTGTTACTCTTATACCC